ATATATATATATATATATATATATATATATATATATATATATATATATATATATATATATTATTATTATTATTATACTCATTATATGTTATATATAATCATAATAATAATAATATTGTAAAACGAGGGGAGAGACAGGAAAGGAGATATCAACAAATAATAGATAAAGGAGACACAACAACAAGGAGACAGTAGGGAGACAGTACGGAGATAGTAGGGAGACAGCAAGGAGACACTAACAAAGAAGAGATAATCTAAGGAGAAGCATGTGCGAAACAGCAACTTTCACAGCAGCAGCAGCAGCAGCAGCAGCAGCAGGAGCAGCAGCAGTGTAAGGACAAGAGCAGCAAAGAGTGAAGAGGCTGCGCGTCAATTGGTGAGCTGTGGTTCTGCAGCAGTCTACCTATACAGCCTCAACCAGTCTATATTTAGGGTTTAGGGTTTAGGGTTTAGGGTTTAGGGTTTTCCTCTTGAGGAGACAAAAAGAGACAAACAAAAGCGACATCCAACGGGGAGACAAATAAACAGCAACGAGACAGAGGGGAGACATACAAATGATCACGGCTCCACAAAAGGAAAACCAGCAGCAGCAGCAGCAGCAAGAGCAGCAGCAGCAAGAGCAGGTGCAGCAAGAGCAGCAGCAGGCGCTGCAGCAACCAGCGTAAAAGCAAGAAGAAAAGCAGAGAAGCAGGCGTGTATGGAGATAAGATAGGAGTGAACATATAGCAGGACTTACGGAAATGGGAGGACTCACTACTGCGGTTGCTGCTGCGGTTGCTGCTGCGGTTGCTGCTCCGATTGCTGCTGCTGTTGCTGCTGCTGTTGCTGCTGCTGTTGCTGCTACTGTTGCTGCTGCTGTTACTGCTCCTGTCGCTGCTGCTGTCGCTGCTGTCGCTGGAGCTGCGGCTTCTGCCGGTCCTGCTGCTGCTGCTGCTGCTGCTGCTGCTTGGCTTGCTGGTGGCTTGCGTTGCAGCTCTTCCCGGTGTATGGGCAGCTGCGTGTACAGCTGAGCCCCCAAGGAAGGCCGAGGAAGCAGAAGAGGAGAGAGCAGAGGACTGGTGCGACAAGACAGAAGAAACTCTGGAGACTTTTCTTACATTGCCGCTCTTAAGTTTATTCATTTTAATATATTTATTGATTTTATCATTTGTAAACACTAAACTCGTGCTCTAAACACACAACCCATACAACACCGCCACCGACGCTGCACGCAGCTGCCTGTACACCCGAAGACCCTGAGCAACGAACCAAGAGTCTCAGCATATAGAACAGACAAAAACTCTCTTTATTATTCTTTATCAACTTGAGAAGCAACGTTGCAACAGCTGCAGCAGCAGGAGCAGCAGGAGCAGCAGCAGCAACAGTTGCAGCAGTGCTTCTGTCTGTACCTTCCGTGCAGGTAGGCCTGTCAATACTGCGTTATTGGGGGAGAGTGAGAAAAATACAAAAGAATAGGGGTTTTTATTTGTGAAAAATAATTAATTTCATTCAAATAAATGTAAATTACTCCTCCACCCCTTTTGGGGCTTCGATAGGCAGACGCAACACCACCATAACCACTGGACTGGGGGCCACCGGCCCGAGGTGTATATACACCTCAGCTATAGACGGTGTTTAAGTGAGCTCAGTACACGCTTTTCTCTTGTTGCTTCTTCGATACTTCATTACTTTCACCTCGAGCACAACAAATGCATGCATATACCGCCCGCCACCGTCGTAGGGGCTGCGCAGACACACCGGGAACTGCCCATACACCGCAAGAGCTGCCCATACACCTCAAGAGCTCCACATACACCCCAGATGCA